TTTATTTTTACATAGGTCGATTTCTGCATTTTCTGGAATCTTTTATTTGTACTTTTGGAGTTAGTTTCAATTCTTGCCTTTTTTTAGCTAAGTTTGTTTTTATTTAGGTCGATTTCTGCATTTTCTGGAATCTTTTATTTGTACTTGTGAAGTTAGTTTCAATTCTTGCAATTTTTTTAGCTAAGTTTATTTTTACTTAGGTCGATTTTTGCATTTTCTGGAATCTTTTATTTGTACTTGTTCTTGTATAGATCTTGGCATCCACTTTCTCTTCGGGAAGCGCTGCCAAAATTTCTTCAAATCCAAGGAGTTAGTCAAAACTCGACTTTTCAAAATCCAACTTGTCTGATTTTCATATATGGCTTAGTAAAAATCTGAGAAATCTCCTTTTCTAAAGGGACTGCTGCCCAAATTTTTGTTAATTCAGGGAGTTAGACAAAAGTTGACTTTGGAGGATTGAAGATTATTTCTGTTTTCATGATTAGGCTGATACAAATTATGGAAAGACACTTTTCCTACGGGAAACACTGCCGAAATTTTCTTAGTTTAGGGGAGATAGCTTATATTTTGATAGGTGGCGACTCTGGCGATCCACTCTGTATGGGGGAGATTCCGCCGTGGGTCTGCCTTTCTTTGGGCACTAGCTTAGAGATAGACCTAGGCTTGGTTATTAGGAGAGTCTTGAGTGAAGACGTGTCATGGGGATTTGATCTCCATACATTTACGACTTAGCTTGCATGTTTATCTGTCGTATGATACAGGTCTCCTTTGGACATTCGATCCAGGATTTGGACTAGTTTCAGCTTGATCTCACGAGAATCATCTTCTGTTATCACTGATAACATGTCGGTTGGTTGATCGCCGACTCGTCGGCTCACGACACAACTCTGCTTATACCTGTACTTCAACTTGATTGCCTTAGCCCTGAGTATTGATATGTTTCTTTGAGGTTTTGACCGAACTTCTTTTAAATGACCATTATAAAGAATTTATGAGAATTATGGAGATTTGGACAACGACTGGGGCTTGAGTGTGTGAGGCGTGGTTCGAGTTACACAGGACAGTAAAGCTAACTATATTGGTGTATGGCAATGTGGCTATTGTGTGTGTTTGTGTTTTATGCAGGTTAGTATTTTGGAGCATGGTATATGAACCATACCTTGGAGACAATGAGAACGACAACCATGTGTCGCACGATCTGCATACCTGATGGGTTTATTTTCCCCCTTGTTTTTATTTTTATCTCGTGTCCTGATTCGATATATATGAATGTTGGGATATTTATTTATTTATTGAGTGATTTTACTTGTTAATGTTTATAGTTAGACATTGTAGTCCGTGGCAACCGTCAAAGTCAAACCCCTTGACTTCTTTCCAGACCCAGGATGACAGAGTTGGTCTCCAGGGCAATAAAAGACGATTTCCATCACAGGTATGAACCTGTGTATCACCCACTCTCCGCAGGATGCAGAAGACTATTAAACACCCGCGGACGCGTCCGCGGGGTCAAGCTCGGAGGACGGACGTGATCACGACCGCCGCGGCTTAGCCGCGGTTGGGTGCGGCCGCGACTTTCATGAATTTTTTGTGACCTTAAAAATTTATTAAAAAAAAAAACAAAAAATACGGGGTTGTAGATCTTTTCGAGATCTAAATTGCGCAATGTTTTATTTAATTTTTTGACTTTGTCTTCGAATTTTAAAAATTCAAAAACTAATTTTTCTGAGGCAAAAATTGTTTGTTTTGTTTTTTTCAAAAAAAAAACATGAAACATATGTGATTTTTTATTTTAAATTCAGTAACGTTTTTGGGTATAACCACAATGCAAAAGTTGTTCAGTATATGTTTCTGCATAACATATTTTTTTTTCAATTTTTTTTTTTTTTTTTTTTTTTTTTTTTTTTTTCATGGCCATGGACCGCGGACACGTCCGCGCGGCCGCGGACTTGTCCGCGGATGGCCGACGCCGAGGGGGATAGGCAGAAGAGGGTGGTTTTCAACCACCTTTGGCGGTTGTCCAGCATCGAGAAATCAGTCTCTCAAGGCGCGTGTCAGCTGACACTTGAGTGTCGAATGCTACCCTTGAGAATAACGAGAACCGCATGAGTATGGGTACTACATAGTACGCCATCATTGCGACTGTTTGCGTAGGCATTCATTGCGAGTCGATATGAGTTAGCCTTGTGCCCGCGCAGTTTTATATTAAGTCTCGTGCGCATCACTTATATGATTTCTGCGTCGAAAAGTTATGGGATGGCTACTAAGGGACTAAGAGTGTTGTCGCGTCGTTTGTTCAGTGTCGTTCTGTACATGTATATGTACGTGTATGAGTGTTTTTATTTTTATGTTCCTTACAGTGGTGTGCGCGTGGTGTGTGGGATGCGTCCTAGTCGACCGACGATGGGTCGCGCTTGGGCCTTCAGCCCCCCAAGATGCTGGTTCGCGTGCGGGTTCGATAGAGGCGTAATACCGCACGTACCCCCTAGGCTACAGCGAACGAGAAACACCCTCGGCTGGTCCACCTCTGCGATTGCAGCTGATTAACTTTCGTATTGTGGACTGGTAGCTCGGCGAGGATACACCCACCGAAGGGAGGTGACAATTCCCGTAAGGTGGAGGTAAGTTGTGCCTCGTGTAGGCCCTATCCTGTCGTAGGGGCTCACGAGAGGTATGGCTGGCGCACTCGGCCGGAGCGGTTTGTGGAAGCTCCAGGTATATTCGTAACAAGGATTAAGAGCAACTCCTGGGTGACGCGGCCGGGAGGGTCCCGTGCTGCCTTGTGCGGTGCCGGACCGATGGCCCGACACCGTATGGAGGCATCAATCAGCACGTCGACGAGGAGCGGTTTGACAACAAGCAGAAGGTGGCGAGGAGAGCGGTGGAGAGGGCGTTTGGCAGGCTGAAGGGCATGTGGCAGCTGTTTCTGCGGACACACAAGACAAACCTGGACACGCTCCCGCAACAGTTCACTGTCGTGTGTCTACTGCACAACATACTGATCGACGCAGGAATCCCCTTCGACGAGAATCTGCTATGGAAGGTCAATGATAATGGTGTGCGACGTCGTGTGGACCTAGGGATGGAAGAGCCCCTTCAGCCTGTGTCGATGATGACGTCCACGAGGGAAGCGTTGGCCCTGAGGCATGCTTCGGCAGAACGAATGAAACACCATTGAATCGTGTTCCTATGGTGGACGGCAGCGCGTGAAAGTGCATTCATTGCAGCAATGGCCAGAGGGCAGATTCGTTGTTCTGTCCAACCTTTATTGGGTTGCTAGTGTCTGTCCCACCTCGGAATTGGTGGTTTGCGTTGAGGGTCATGGTTCGTCGCCGTCGTCATTGGTGGATGTGCATCGCCGTTGTTCGTGGATTTTTATAATTAGCGTTGACGCTCTATAGTGCGGACACGACGCACTGCGGATGTAAAGTGCCCCGGTTTTTGGCACATCGGGTGTTGTTTAGAAGATAGTGCAGTGTTGGTCATTCGGATGGGCCTGAAACTTGTCCCCCACCTGCCTTCCATTTTTTTGTCTCCGCAATGAAATGATGAACGATTTCGTAATTCTCAAAGTTTGTTTCGTCGATTTCCGGTATGTGTTGTCACTGTGTGTTTTGCTATTTCATTGCGTTGACGTTCACAACATGTTAGGTCAGACATCGTATGTTGTATGGTGTTGTGCGCTTTGTCTTCCTGCGAGTGTTGAAATCAAACACAAACACGTCTTTTGTTTGGCATTGGGAAAACTGGAAAAAAAAAAAAAAAAAAGCAACAAACAAACAAGTGACAATGACACAAGCAAATCAAGATGACATGTGTGAATGTACATCCAACAAGCCAAGGAGTTAAGGACTATTCATGTTTCATGAGAAAGACTGTTCGTTGTAGAATGAGTGATCAGTCATGATTTGCGAACTGACGAAAACAGAGAACGCAAGATTAAAAAATCAAAGGTGCGCCCCAAGCGCAATTAACTTGTTTCGCAGCAAGTTGCGCTGACAACAACACAAAACATAATCACAGAAATCGAATTCGCTCTTACAATGTGCTGAAGAGAGCGCCGTTTACCGTCGCTTCTCCACTATCAGCAACGACAGACTATACACATCCACAAACAACTACGACCGCAGTTACACAAAGCACCTCTGCCGGAGTGGACGATCGAAAACGTCGGGCGTCTATACACAATAAACAAACGTTGCGCACGTGCACAACGAAGGGAAAAACCATCAACAATCCGTTTTCCGAACGCGCCGCCAGGAAACCTGCAGCTTCGACACCGCCAACATGTGCCCCCCTCCACTTCCCTCACCCGCACCGACAAACGCGACCCGTTCAGCTACCCTCTCCCGCCCTGCAAGTGTCGGCAACATTAAACCGTCCTGCATCCCCCTATGCGTTGTCTTTTCCATCGTCGTCGTCGTCGTCGTCCTCCAAGGGGTTCGAACCCAACCAATCCCTCCTCTTCGCGTCCTCCGGCCCCGTTATGCTCGCGGGCACGAAGACGATGTCGTAGAAAGCCAAGTTGGGGATGTACTTCAAGTACTCTCCGAAGGTTGCGTTCGCCTTCCCTAGTCTCTCCACCACGACGTTGGTGGCCCGGATAACGGATCGTCGATGCTCGAAGGAGCGATGCATGGACGCGATGAGTGTGGGCTTCGCGACCAGCTTCGCGAAGTAGAAGGCTTCGTAGTGGCTGCGCGAATCGTCTCCCGCCATGCGCATCAACCACATGCTGGCCGCCAACAAATGCCTGAAGCAATCTGCAATCCTTTACAGACGGTCGTGTGAGATGAACCCGTCGTTGACGTTCGCACCATTTGCACCGCGGCGTGGAATGCATGCACGGTGCATATCACATCAACTCCTTGTGCCCCGCCATGTCGTCGTCCTCCGACCTGTCCTCGATGTTCGCGGCCGCAAACCACAGTGGCAAGTCCATGTTCAGGTCGATTGTGTGCTCGCAAACGGTCGCACTCTCGACGTTGCTCCACTCCTCGCCGTACGTCATGACACGCGCAATGTCCGTCGCCACTGACTCCAGCACGTACTGGAAAGCGAGATTGTATCCTCAGAGGCGGTTCCCGAACTTGAAGACCCATCCGTGCAAGACGCGCAGAGCAATATTCTTCACTGTCGCCGCGCGGGAGATCGCCTGCTGCAGTTGTGTGGGATCCGCAATCCTTGTTAGGCTCGTAGCGAATTTCGGCATGACTACGCTCCGAGGGACAGAGGGTGCTTGCTGCCCGCTGGCGATGGCGACAAAATTCTCCCGCGTTTCGTGGACGATGTTGTACAGTCTTTGCTCCTCTCCCGTCGTCCAGAACGCTTTGTCATCAACCGACAGGTAGGCACGGTCGGCCAGATCTTTCGCCATGCCTCCCCTCCACATCCGACTTAAAAGGGTGTCCTCATTCTCCCTATCACCCCTGTTGTTGCCCCGCGCCACCTTCCGCAGCACAACTGGAAGTTCCTCTCTCATTCTCGCCACAGCCGCAACATCGCCCGAAGACCCCGCACCCGCAGCAGCGATCGCCCCCCCACCCGCCACGAGCGCTTCTTGCTGGGTTCCCCCCCCTCCACCGCGTTCCACGGAGCCCCCCTCAGCAGCCGTGTTGCGCGGACGCGACTGAGACGGCGTGGAGAACAGCCCACCCTGAGGTGGCCTTTCTTCAGTCGAGCCGCGTATCTCGAGTGTCGTTGTCGTGGCGCCTTGCGTGAGATTGCGCTGCCGATGGCTTTCCAACGGCCCGTTGTCCTCACCGTCGACATCAACGACAACCTCCTTCGCCTTCGGGGTATCGTGGGCACACGCTTGCTGCGCCTCCGGAGGGGGTGTCAATAATTTCCTCGCAGCGCTCTGATCAGTTGCCCGTTGAAGACTGCTTCCCCGAGGTGCCGACATGGTGTCCTCTGCTGCTTCTTCCTTCGTCGTGAACACGTCTTCGTCGTCCTCTTCGTCAGCTGTCCCCCAAGTCTGCCCCCGCCGAAGAGGCACGCCTCCTGATGCTTCTTCTGAACGAAGCCTCTTCGACTTGGGGACATGCCCCCCACCCTTTCCCGCCCCTGAGTGTCTGCAGGAACTATTTCCCGCTTCTTGCCACGGGCGCCGGCTCGGGCAGACATGCTTCATGCTTCCCTCTGCGGATCGCTCGTGCCTACTCCTGCGTTCGCGAAGACGAAGAACAAGCGGCAATGAGGAGCAAGGCATCCAGGTATGCCAAAGTAGTTGGGCAACACCGACGAGACTGCTCCGCGGCGAGAAGAAGACAACACCGACAATGACAAACCGACACGTGGCGAGAAAGATCCGCGGCGACAAAGAGAGAGTGCCCCGCCGATGGTAGTTCCATTGACGGGCCGTGAGCAGCGTCTTGCGAATGGATTGGTGTACCTCAATCGGCCGCGTTCGCACCGACGATGAAGAACCGCCCACGCTGCACAAAGTAGCGTGACGTCGACGTCCGCGCCAGAAGGAGATAAACCCTGCCAATACTGCTCCGCGGCGAAAAACAAACAATGCAGAAGGGCGCCGAACCTTCGAAGCGACGATACAGATCCGCGGCGAGAAGGAGAGAGCGGTCTGCCTGTAATGAGGCCGAAGTTGCATCGTCTGTCCACGTGTCTACAAACCTCCGCGTGGCGAACGCGAGCACTTCACACGGCGCGAAATGCCGACGTCATGAGATGGCGAGAAGATCCACGGCGATGATCCTCGATGACACTGAAGAAGTCCCACATGAGGAGTGAGAAAAAAGGGGCGAGCACGCGATTGCGGTGCGGTGCGACGAGGACAAAAGGCACAGGGCGTCCTGCGTGGTTGTGCTCGGTGTGCAGCATGTGCGGCGGCCTTCAGTGTTGGAGAAGCCGCAAGCGGACGACCTTTATGCGGGAGGGGGCGCAGACGCATCGACAAGATGGAGCAGACGGACGGTCCCCGACGTCGCTTCTTCACCTTTCGTCGTCGTCGACAGGGACACGTGTGACAACAGCTCTTCAGACCTCCTTCTCTCACCCGCCCTCCATCTATTGCCACGCCCACCTTCCCCGAGGCGCCAACAGACCCTTCGATGCCTCTGCGGCCGCGCGCTCATACACTCTCCAGGGGCCGAAATAAAATTATTCAAAAAAACAACAGCATACCCCTCAAACCCCCCTCCACCTCGTCGGCTGCCTCCCCTCCACCCTAACTGGCCATGGTCTCCCCTCCAGCCCCCGCGTCTGCCGGCATCTGAACCCCCCCGGCAGCCCCCGTGTCCGCCAAATTCTTCGGGTGGATCGTGTGCTCCCCCTTCGTCATGGCCTCCATCTCGTCGTACACGCTCCGGTGCATGACGAAGTTGAAGCCCTCCGATCGCATGACCTTTGAAGCAAGCTTGAAGTACTCCATCCCGTTGGAGAGGTTTTGGAACTTGCGGACCTTTTTGAATTACTGCATCAAGTTGTCCCATTTCTTCCCGCAGTCGACGACCTCCCTCGTGATGCCCATCGTCTGCAACCTCGCCCGCACGTCCCCCCACTTCCACTCCCTCCTTTTCATGCGGGCGAAACTGGTGCCCATGCCGGCGACATACAGATCTTGATCCTTTTTTGCCTTGACGAGTGCGATCGTGTCTCCCACCGACCAGAAATTTTGGCCGCCCTTGCTCCCACCGACGAGTGCGATCGTGTCTCCCACCGACGAGTGCGATCGTGTCATCCATTTTCTTATTCCGTCGATTTTTCGGAGCGGGACCCTTCTTCGCACTCGCACTGTCGTTCGTCACCTTCCTCCCAAGCGGCCTAATGTCTGGCAAATCATCGGAGTTGCAATCGTCATCACTTTCAACGTCGTCTCACCCCAGGGGCTCCTCAAAAGCCACTTCGTCGCCTCCGTCCACGTGGTGCCGTTGCACCCCTCTCGTGATTGTCTCCGTTCCACCTTTGATTCAAGGCCTGCCTATACTCTGCCCACAGCTGCCTGCCCTCGCGTTGCACGTGCGCACCTCCCTCACGCCAATCCTCCAGTCGCTGCCGTCCTCGAGTCGTCCCGGATCCGCTTTGCGACGCAGGTCACAAGCGCATCCACTCCGGGCGTTCATCGCACCGAGTCCTCCTCCAACATTCGTCGACGACACATTTCGATTCCCGCCACCTTCGTGAAGAGAATGAGGTAGACCGTCGTCTCGCGCCCGGCACAGACCAGCATACGTGTTGTCCGCGCAATCCCTATCTGCGTGGGGATTGATGATCCGAGTGTGCGTTGCCTCTGCTCTGATGCTGCTGGACAACTGGAAGCTGAGATCAACCAATGCATTGTCATCTTCATCGCACAGCCCCTCGTTCAGCAGTGAGGTGTAAGACCATGGGGTTTCCGCCCGCCTGCCATCGTACGACTGCGTCGCTGCCCATTCCTGCGTCGAACCACTTCCCAACGACAAAGCCGACGACCTGACGTCTTCCCCGTCATAATCCGACGGCGAAAGAGGAATCTCGTGAGACGGCAGGTGAGCATACAACCTCGGGTCGTACGGCTGCTTCACCACAGACCCCGCACTGCGTTGCCCATTGCTCACTCCGGAAGTTGTGGCTGCCGGTCTGCCATTGGCCAGTCGTCGATCCATCATGTCGGCTTTCTTGGAAGATCTCCTTCTGCGAGTCGCGACCGGGACAAGGCCGACGAAACACGCGTGGAAAAAAACAACGACGATAAGTCGCACGACGACGAGGAGCAGCAGAGGCAGCCTGTGCAGCAGGTCGGCCATGTAACGGCCGTTGAAAGGGCAACAAACCGACGTCAGCGGTCTACCGTCCAACGAACAAGCCCGTCGACACAAGAAAGATCGGTGGAAGATTTCTGCTCCAACCTGCGAGGCGTGACTACAAACGAAGAAAACAACGATCTTCTGCAATGAAACTGTCGTCGTCGAAAGCAGCGCCGGCTGGGAAAAGCATTCAAATTTCGAACCGTTGTCGACGATCGCCCGCCGCAGCAGACCCCAAGGCGCCAGTCGGCAAATCGCGTAGACAGACGGAGGCCTTACGCGGACGGTGACCGTTTGGAGCCGTTGGGGCGCCTTGCAGATTTTGGAGGCAGGGATGTCCGCGCTCCCATTTGCTGGACCACGTCTGGACCACCCTCGAACCGAAATTGTGCATTGACGCATGCCTTCTCCGAATTTCGCACTTCCGTGTGCTCCGAGGGACCCCAGGAGGTCCCTTGGGGGTTAAGAAAAAATGGCTCTGGCCAGAAGGACGCACACAAAAATTTCCGTGTGGTGTTTCCACTTTTTTTTCCGAGAATTGTCCCCATGGACAGGTGGAACGATCAGTTCCTTGTGGATTTCGCGTCCACAAGGAGTGTCTAACGAGGCCCTATATCTCCTTCAATTTGTCTTGTGCACTTCCAGTACAAGCGGGGTACAAACAAGGCTGCTTGCCCATTTCCTTTTTTTTTTCCTTTTTTTTGTCTTTTTTTTGTCTTTTTTTTCGTTTCCCTGCCTACTTCCACTGTTTTTTTTTTTTTTTTTTCAATTCTCATTAAAAAAAGCAGACTGCTGCCCCAGTCTTTTTTTTTTTTTTTTTTTTTTTCTGAAAAAATTTGAACCACCTCTCAATGTATGCTTGTCATCGTTACACTGGGTGCATACTTTTTTTTTTTTTTTCATAGGGCAACGGCCTTGAGATATCATCATCAAACTGACCAGCCCTAAGTAATTCAGAAATCTAGTATTTTACTCATCTGCTTCTAGTGGAGTTCGAACTCAGGTATGTATTTCAAGTGTGTACCAACTGAGCTAGACCAGGTGCATCTTACCCTTTCCAATTTCCAGGAATATTCCGGAAGCAGGACTTAGCATAATTGCTTTTTTTTTTTTTCTTTTTTTTCTACCTCTATAGATTTTTTGCATTTTTTCTTTGCTGGAATTGATCCCATCATCTGTTTGATGAATTGCCATGTATACCATGCATCTACAACCAGGTACACCCACAAACTCTCTTCACTTCCCTACACGACGCTCGGGGCCTCCACACACTACTCAGCAAATTTTAATCTGCAAAACTGTGAACGTATCTACTCCCAAAAGGTGGAAAGTTCCACCCTCCAGAATTTTGTCATGTTCACAGTTCGTGAGTGGTCCCGCAAGGCCTTTCTTGTCAATTAATTAATCTCATACGAAAAGGAAAATGCCATCTCCGGCAAGGATTAAAAAAAAAAAGAAAAAAAAAAAGGTCCCTTCTTTCCAATCAAGAAAAAGCTTCCCGCCAATAGACAGGAGCAACCGTAGAGGCCTGCTAGTGGGGGCTGCTCCTATCACCCCTCCTAGCAAGCCACGACCAGCTTCGCCAACAACCAACAACAACACCAACAACAACAACAACTGGGACCGCGCAAGTGTGGAAGCGCAGCCACTCGAGAGCGAGCGCGGGTCTTTAGTGCAGAAGTTCAATCTTTGTTCTTCTTGACAAAGTGTCTTAAAGTTTTTTTCTTTTGGTGAGCCTTGTCAGCGCAGAAGCCCAGCGGTGGGGCTTTGCTGCTGCATTCACCAAATGCGTACCTTCTCGACACCCAATAAACCCTGTTAGAGGTCGTCGACATTTCCTAAAAAGGCCGCACCACTAAACGACAAAAACGCAACCGGGAAGATCCTGGTAGAGTGTGTCTCGCTTTCAAGCACCACCTTTCCTTTTTTCCCTTTCCTTTTTCCCTTTCCTTTTTCCCTTTCCTTTTTTGGCGCCACCTATTGATTGGGAGCTCCACTCCTCAACTTTAATCTGCAGAATCGAGAACGTATCTACTCTCAGAAGGTGGAAAGATGCACCCTCCACAGTTTTGTCATGCTCACAGTTCGTGAGTGGTCCCGCAAGGCCTTTCTTGTCAATTAATTAATCTCGTACAAAAAGGAAAATGCCATCTCCAACAAGGAAAAAAACAAAGAAAAGGTCCCTTCTATCCAATCGAAAAAAAGCTCCCCACCAATAGACAGGAGCAATCGTAGAGGCCTGCTAGTGGGGGCTGCTCCTATCACCCCTCCTAGCAAGCCACTACCACCTTTGACAACAACAAAAAAAAAAAAAAAAAAAAAAAAAAAAACAGGATACCTGGAAGATCCTGGTAGTGTATGGGCCTCGCTGCACTACTCTTGAAATGCACAAAAGACAAAAATCATTGCCGCGTATCTTTCCATGTTCTAGCGGGAGATTCACTCTCGTTTTGCACATTTTGAGAGTAGTGCAGCGACTCGGAGGCCCTATATCTCGCTTTCAAGCGCCTCCCTTCCCTTTTCCCCTTTCTTTTTTCACCGCCACCTATTGATGCGGAGCTGCACTCCTCAATTTATTGTTCACTGGCAGTGACTGACACGACAATCCTCTATAAGCGAAATCGCAGAATGGTGGGGGCACGTGTGAAGTCGGCAAATTATTGTGTTTCTGAAATGTGGCCCTTTCCCAGGCACCACGTGTCATTTTCAGATAATCCACGTTCCCGTGAACCAGGACGGAGGGATTTTAGAGGTGGCAGGGCTGCGGCAATACTGCCACTGTCGCCTGATAATTTTCACTGCAGATAACGCATGGCCTTGTACGGCTGCCAGGTTGTTTTTTTCTAGTGAGTTGGAGGCATCTCAAAGAAACCCTTTCTGAAGGATATATAATATATCTCCCTTTTCA